AGTTTCCTGCGGTCCCGCCCCCGCCTCGACCACGCCCCCAGCCATAGCCACGCCCTCCGACCGCTGCCGGACACGCCCCCTTGGTGACCACGCCCACCTGTGTCCAGGGTGCTCATCATCACCATCGTCATCTTCATCACCGTCCCAGCCATTCGCTGCACCCCAGGTCTTGTCTGGGTTCCGACCCCGCGTGGATTTTGGGACGAGGGCGGATGTGAGCACCGGCCCCGCCTCCCTAACCTTTAGCCTCTGGTCTGCGGGTGTAGGCGAGCCGAGAGGCGGCGCCCGGCGGGGTGGGGCGGGGCGGGGCGGGCGGGGCCCCGGCGCCCCCACCCCTCCAGGCCCGGGCAGGAAGTGCGGCCGGGTGGCCTGGGAAGGGGAAGAGGCCTGAGTCGCCCTGGGCACCGGCCTCTGCCTCCCTGCTCTCCGGTCCACCACCACAGGCCTGGGGGGGAAGCGCCCCGCCTGGCTCCGCTCCTGGTTACTTCTGTCAACTCCCTGGGCAAGACCCATCGACTCCCCCAGCTTTGGTTTCCCCACCGATAAAACGGCGGGGAGGGCAGCCGATGGGGTCTTTCCTTCCCTGGCGCCCCTTGGCTGAGGCTGGGTTGGCATCTCTATCAGGCACTGGTGGTCTCCTGGGTCTCAGGGAGGGGCAGACCCGTATTTATCTTCCTACAGACTTCCAATATAACTTGCCAGCCATACCTGCCCTGCCCGCCCACCCCCACATCCCAGAAGACAGGTAACCACAGAAACAGCCGTAAATGTGGAGCTGGGTGATCCTGTAGTGCTGAGACAAAACTGTCTTTCCGGCGTCTCTAGGGACCTCCTCCACAACCAGGAAACACACACACACCACCGTGAGTGAACTCCTACTTCGCAGGCTGTGGTGGCTGAGGAGCTTTGAAAAAGCAGGTAGGCCCAAGGTTTCAAGCCCCTCTCTCTCCCTCCTCTGTCTCTCTGCAGGCTGAACGGAGTTAGTCTCCAGGATGAAATGAATTATCAGTGAAATGTAATCGAACCCATTCCTTTCCCTGTGGGGTCACAGTGTCTCTCTTCCTAGCAGAGCTGAGTAGCCAAGATCATTCAGTGGCTTCCTCTGACCCCAGAGACCAGGTAGGATTACAGGTGAGACAGCTTCACCACACACCCAGTGGAAGCCCGGCAGCCAAGTGGTCAGGTATTGGGGTCAGCCTGGGGAGGTTCTGCAGACCTGCCATCCCTGATTTGCATCCAGGTTACAGTTCAACCAGAAAGGGGAGGGCTGTCCTTAGGCATTGAGGAAGGAGCTTCTTTGGGGTTCCAGCATCCTTACTCAAGACTTTCTAGGCACTCCTGGTTCCTCGGCTTCCAGTAAAAGAGGGTTCAAAGGGATTATTAAGGAATTGGGCCTAGAAACCCTGAATTCGCCAGAATTCAACACGTGGGAGTTTGGGTGCTCAGCTCAATGGTACATATGTATGGAGGCTCTGGATTCCACAGCCAAGTAAATTCACACACTATGAAATTAGTCATGTGGCCCTCTCTGGGTGCAAGGGAATCTGGGAGTTACAATCTCTTGAGTATGTAAGAGAAAACAGAGCCAATCTGTTGAGGGGTATCCTGCCAGAGAAACTGCACACAGGTCTCCCAAGCACTGCGCCACGGATGTCCGCACTAGCTCCATAATTACTGTCCTGGAGGCCTGGCCTGTGACTAGCAGCAAGATGAGGCCTTAGGGGAGAAAGTCACAAAGGCTCACCAAGGAGGTGACTGAAGCCAGGCCCCACCCAGTCTCTGCTGGACCCACAGAGGCTCTGCTGAAAACACTATTTCAAAAAAGAATTACTTATAGTACTTTAATTAACCTGAGTGTGTATTCTACTAGGAAATACATTTCAGAGAAACATGGTTCTAGTCCACCCACCCCTGCTCAGGTATGTATGGAAGCTGGCTGCCTCTAGGTCCTCCTAGGATCCTATCCGCTCCCTTCCTTTATTTGTAATGGCAAAGTATAAAAATGTGGCTCTAGGGACTGGGAAAGGCGGCTCAGTGGTAGAGCGCTTGCCTTGCATGCCTGAGGCCCTGGGTTCCATTCCTCAGCACCATATAAGCAAAAAGAAAAAAGCCGGAAGTGGCACTATGGCTCAAGTGGTAGAGCGCTAGCCTTGAGCTGAAGAGCTGAGGGACAGCACCCACGCCCAGAGTTCAGGCCCCATGACCGGACCCAAAAAAAATAAAAATGTGGCTCAGAGGGTTAGGGTGCATGAGGCTCCCTCCTCGTCAGGCTCTGTGCCCCTCACCAGCTCCAGAAGCTCACATATCAGGCAGCAGTGAAGACCAAGGAAAACCCCAGAAAGGGGAAAATCGGGGGGCTATCTTGAGCTCCTAGCCAGCACCATTGCTGGCTCCTGCCCTGCATCATTAGATGGGTCAGGGCTGGGAAAACTGGATCATTAGGCCATCTGTTTATCTCCAGGCCCCGCAGAGGCCAGAAGATCTTAACGGTGCCTTGTCAAATGCGAAGACTACAGCTCATCCAGTGTGACCAAGAGGCAGGTTCTGATGGGGATCCCTGGCCCCCTTTGTCTTTGCAGGCTCCAGGAATCAAGATAAACGAAGGCACTCCCTCTCCTAGAGCTTTTGCCCTGCTAGGGGCTGAACTGTGGATACCTGCACACACACACACACACACACACACACACACACATCAGGGTAGGAAGCACTAAGCTCTCATAAACTGTTTTTGGAGAAAATACAGCTTTTAGGAGGTATGTTAGTCAGCATTGTGTTTCTCTAACAAATACAAGCAACTTATAAAGAAAGCAGGTTAGCTAGGAATAGCTCAGTGGTAGAGCGCTTGCCTCACATGCATGAGGCCCTGGGTTCGATTCCTCAGCACCACATACACAGAAAAAGCTAGAAGTGGCGCTGTGGCTCAAGTGCTCAAGTAGAGCTCTAGCCTTGAGCTGAAGAGCTGAGGGACAGCACCCAGGCCCAGAGTTCAGGCCCCACAACTGAGAAAGGACGGGAGGGAGGGAGAGACGGAGGGAGGAAAGAAAAAGAAAACATGTCAACTTAGAGTCCGGAGCTGGGTGCTGGTCCCAGCCTTACCATGCTGGATGGTGTCACGGGACAAAGCCCCTTCCTTCCTTGCCTGCGTTCCCCTCCTCAGAGGACTCTGCCATCAGATGACCAGAGCGAGGGAGTCAGATACATCGAGGAATGGGCCATGGCTTTGTCAGCTTTGAACACACTTAAGCCACTGTGAATGGTGATCCTGACATCATCACCCCAAGAGTTGCTAGGTTGGGATGAACGCCTTGCGCACTGGGGGTTCGTGCAGCCCGCTGGAGGAGGAGCCCAGGGGCCCCCACTCATAGAGGTCCCTAGTGGGAACAAGAGGGGAAAACTGGGAGAGAGCAAAGAAAGGGATGACATTGTCTAAAAAGAAATACGCTCTTTAGCTGACTTTATGAAACAACAACCCCGCTGTACATCACCTTTATAATAACAATTTAAACATTCGAAAAATATAGTGAAGAAGGGAGAGAGTGAAAAATAAAACTCCCATCCTGGGACTCTGCCCCTCTTACGCTTGTCCTGGAAAAATGAGAGGAGTACCCAGGGTCTGGCTGGCCGTGGATCACCCATAGAGCACAAACCCCAAGCCAAACACAAACATGGCTTTGACTGCTCTTCAAACCAGTTTGAACCAGAAAAGGCTGCTTCCCTTTCCCAGCTCTGCTTCCAGTGGCTTCACTTCTGGGAAATGCGAGCTCTCTGTGTGTGCCCTGTTCAGGACATAGGGGACATTTTCGTGACACACTGCATCTCATGGCTTAGAGGGGGAAATGGCTGGCACCGCAGCCCTGCCAGAATCCCAGCGGAAAATGCAGCCCACGTGCACGACTGCCCACGTGTGAAAAGTAAAAACACACAGGTGAAATAAATCTTAATGACACATTTTATTTGGTCCTATAAGTACTATTATTCTTCAACGTGTCATCAGTGTTGTGAATGAGATGTTTCCTATTCTTTATGAATGGAGTGTTTTCATCTGCCATGTTTACTCTTTGAAATTCAATGTGTATGTTGTACTTACTGCACATCTGTTTAGGCTGCAATTCCAGCACGCCACAGCCATCCATACATGTCAGCTGCTGTCATTCTAGATCTCGCAGCTGTGACGCAGTGACTCACAGACCTCAAGAGTCTGACCAAAGCCCTTGAAGGACTGGTTAAAACAGAATGCCCTGGGCCCAAGTGGCTCACACCTAACTATTCAGAAAGCTGAGAGCTGGAGGGTTACAGTTCAAAACCAGCTCAGGAAGATAACCAGCAAAAAGCTGTGGTGTACATAGTGGAGCAGTAGCCAAGCAAGTTTGAGATCCTAATCCCTGGGACCAGCAAACACATAGACAGAAACAAAAACAAGAAACAAGCATTGCCAGCTCCTCGCCCCAGAGTTTCAGCTGAAGCAAATGAGCCATGTCTGAGAATTTATAATTCTATTATATATAAAATATATAATACATCTCTGTAAATTTATATTTACATTGTATAAAGTTTCTGGGTGATTCCAGTAGGTGGGACTGGTCCCATGGCCATGGGTACTGCCGCTAACCAAGCAATGGATGAGCTTCCTGGTTTATGTCTTAGGAAACTATGCCATTACTCCAGAGCCGTAGTGATTAAGACAGGATGGTGCCAAGGTGAAGATCAACATCTGGAAGAATGGCATAACATCAGAAAGTCCAGAAATCAACCTTCACACTGGTCAACTGGCTTTTGACAAGGATACCAAGACAGCAGAATGGGAGAAGGGTAAGTCTTGTCAGCAAATGTAGTGAGGACAACTAGACTACCAACTATAAAAGAACCAGCTTGAATGCCTGCTTCACACCATGTCCAAAATGTCCCTCAAAGACCTTAATGTAAGACCTCAGAGCTCTCAGACTCTTCGAAAAGAAAGCAGGGCACCTCTTCATGGCCTAGGATTAGACCATGGCTTTTTAGAAATGACACCCCAAATACGGCAACCAAAAAAAAACTGGATAGGTTGGAATGACAATATCAAGAAAGCAGGTCCAGAATGGTAGAAATATTTGTAAATCATAGATCTGATAAGAGACTTGCATCTGGAACATAAACCGAAGTATTGCAATTCACAAAAAAGATAATGCAATTAAAAC